TGGAGAAGATCTTCTTGGGTTGATTCTATTTGGGGTCCTTTGTATTTCTTGGGACTGGATCTTTGAGTGCCTCTCTAGGTTTGGAAAGTTTTCTTGCAGGATTTCATGGAATAGATTATCAATGCCCTTATGAGTCTCTTCTCCTTCTGGGATGCCAATTATCCGGATATTTGGACATTTGATGGTATCTAGTATTTTTTGTATATTGTTTTCGAATTTTTGGGCCATTTTCTCAGTCTTTGTGGTGGATTTTTCTAGGCCAGAAAATTTCTCTTCTACGTCTGAGATTCTATTTTCTGTGTGATCTAGTCTGCTTTTAATACTTTCAAGAGAGAGTTTGACTTCCTATATTACAGTCTTCACCTCTAACAGTTCCATTTGATTCTTTTGTAAAGTGTGTAATTCTTCTTTTAGATCTTGCATGAATTTCCTCACCTCCCGGAACTCGTCAGCTCCTTTTTTCTCTCTCTTCTGCAGTACATTGTCTTCCTTCTCTTCCATCTCTGTTAGCTTTGCTATTATGAATGTTATAAATTCTTTATCAGACATTTTCATGATTTCCATTGAACTGTCTGTTAATGAAGAGGAGTTATTCTTTTCCCTTGGAGGAGAGGTATTTTCTTGCCTTCCCATATTTCTTGTGGTCCTGCGGTGATTTCTAGTCGTCTGATGGATGGTGTGTTTCTTCTCAAACTTGAAGTTCAATCTGAGCGTCCAGGAGCATGCAGAAAAGGAAACACAGAGAAACAGCAGCAACAAAAACAACCAAGAAACAGAAAAAGAGAAGAAAAAAAACCAAAAAAATAAAAAAAAAATTAAAAAAAAAAAGCAAAAATAAGAAAACCACGCAGTGCAGTTCTCAGTAGCCGTGAAGGTGTCTTCTGAGGCCTGCTTCCTTGCCTCTCCTTGGTTGAGATGGGGAGAGGGGATTATTGACAAGATAAAGGGAAAGGAGGGGCTGAAAACCAAGAAATTGGTTTACCTTAAAAAATTTTAAAAATGAGAAGACAGAGACAGAGGTAGAGAGGGACAAAGACAGAGACAGGAGGCTTGAAAGTCTTCCTACCACATGAGTTTGTGGGCTGGAGGCTGAATTATCAGTGGAAAATCTTCATTTCTCCTATTCCCCTGAAATCACTAGTTCTCAGTAGCCATGAAGGGGTCTTCTGAGACCTGCTCCCTTGCCTCTCCATGCGATTTTGTGGGCTGGAGGCTGAATTATCACTGGAAAATCTTCATTTCTCTTATTCCCCTGAAATCACTAGTTCTCAGTAGCCATGAAGGTGTCTTCTCTCAACCTAAATTTTTAAGCATAATTTCTTGTATTTAACTTACATGAAGCTAGTAGTGTTAATGATTTATCATTATAAAATTTGACTATTCTTTAATATTTTTGTCATATTTGAAAATAGACCATGTATAATTTCTTATTTTTAAGAACTAAGTTAATTAAATTTATTTAACTATTATTTAGCAGTCTTTACTTGAGTCATAATTCATCTTGGAGTAGGAATCTAACATTCATTTTTACTATACTAAAAATTTATATTTAGTCTTATATGTTCTTTTATAAAGGATAGGACCTTGCTGTTCTAAGTAAATGGTTGTAGGAAATGTCTTGGATTTTATGAGTTGTCTTCAGGTTCTAAAAGCCACTTGCAAAGACATAGAGATATATAAGCTAGGTTTTGTTTTGTTTTTTGTTTTTTTTTTCCTATAGGGCACGTTCGCTCGCCAGACAGAGAGAGACAGAGAGATAGAAAGTGAGAAATCCTCTCCCAGAGGGGATGGCCACGCCACATCCCTTCTCCTCCATTCTCCTCTCAGGATCTTGGGTACGCACACACATGCACCCGATGTGAGTTTAAGCCACCAGGTCCGGCACTCGAACCGCGGTCGACTACATGGGAGTCCCGTGACATAGCCATTACGCTAACTGCTGGTCCCATAAGCTAGGTATTTGACTAGTAGAATACACTTTCAAATTTTAAGGACCATGTATATTTTTGTGAGGAAGTTTAAGATTTCAAGTAAGACCATTAGAGATTATATATATTATATCATTGATTTTTCAAATATATTTTTTCAAACTATTAAAAATCACATTTTCTTTCTGTAGTGGTAAGTTCCTGAAAGACACTGTTACTCTTGAAGATGGACAAATTGGAGAAAGACCAGAAATAATTTATCACGTAATTCATACTATTTTATTGGGTTCTCTTGCAATGGTTATAGAAGGGTAAGTGTTCTTGACATGATCTGAATGTTTTTACCAAGAGTGTCCTTTTTGATGATCACACATGAATACATTCAAGAATTCATTTATAAAACTTTATAAAAACTGAATATCTATAAACCTTCTTAATCTAACTAGAATTTATAAGGGCATAATTATAGAAAAATGAACTGACGTTTACTTATACATTCATTTATTAAAAAACTATTGAATATCTTCCAAGTTCCAGGCATTATCTAGAGGCTGGAGGTACATATGGTAGCAGGCAAAAGTGGACACACAGTCTCTAACTTATGTAACTTATGGCTTTATGGCTCCAACCCCCAGACCACGGTACCAGTCCATGACCTGTTAAGAAGCAGGCTGCACAGCAGGAGGTGAACAGAGGGTGAGCAAGTGAAGCTTTATCTATTGATATTATTTACCGCCACTCTCCATCACTTGCATTGCTATGTGAGCTCCACCTCCTGCCAGATCAGCAACATGAGACTCTTGTAGGAGTGCAAACTCTTTTATGAACTGTACACGTGAGGGATATAAGTTGTGCATTCTCATAAATTACCACTCCTACCCCCCCTGTTCCCATTCATGGAAAAATTGTCTTCCACAAATGCAGTCCCTGATGCCAGGAAAGTTAGGGACTGTTGGCCCAATGGATATAATAAATGTTAATTGTATAAAAATAAAATCACAGCGTTAGTAAGTGAAAGAGAACTGAGTCCTTATGTGCTGTGAGAACACATAAAAAAACATAGTTTCACTTAAAGAGAACAGGAGGATTCTCTACGGAAAAGGTGCTTGAATTAAGACCCTTAGGTGAGAAAGAGTGAAAGAATAGCCCAGCTAGAGGAGATAGCATATGCTAAGGCCTGCATTAGGAAGTGTCATTGCACATTGTTGGGAGGGATGAAAAGGAGCTTAGGCTAAAATGCAATGGGCACGTAGTCTCTTTGAGACTCTGCTTTCAGTTCTTTTGTGATACATACCTAGATGTGGAATTGCTGGATATAATGGTTCTATTTTTAAGTTCCTGAGGAAGTTCCATAATTGTAATCCTGCCAACGGTGCACAAGTGTTCCACTTCTTCACATTCTCCCTGAGCTGTTATTTTGTTTTTTGCCAGTGGGCATATGCACCTGCATGAGAGAGAGAGAAAGAAAGTACCCTCTAATGGGTCATGATCACACCAGAATCCCCTTTCATTTTTCCATCCTGTTAGGATTTGGGGTACTCACACACACAAATATTGTGCGTGTTTTCCAAGCTGCTAGGGCTGGGATTGAACTGTGGTTGGCCATGTAGGATCCAGCTTTCTATGAACATAACTTAACTGTCACACTGTGGAGCCAGCCCTGTTTTCTGGTTTTGTGATAGTTACCATCTTTTGATTTGCATTTCTCTGATGACTAGTGATATTGAGCATCTTTTCATATGCTTATTGGCCATTTTTATATCATTTTGGAAGAAATTGTTGAAGTTGCTTTCAACTTGTTATTTTTTAGTAGGGCTATTTGGTTTTTTAATGTTGAGTTTTAGTTTTCTTTATATTAGTTGTCAGGTGTATGATTTGCAAATATTTTCTCTTACTCTGTAGGTTGGCTTTGAACTTTGTTGATTGTATTGTATTTAAGTTTGGTATAATCCTTCCTGTGATATTATGCAACTTTTCACAGTTATCCAAATTATTTAAGAATATATAATATTATGTTAACATTACATTAAAAAGCAAGTTATAGTGTGACCATAGTTTTGCTAAAAATCATATTCTAGCTAAGTAAGACGAGTTAAAATAAAGCTAGTGCTGTGAGAAAGGTATACATAAGATGCATTAGTCACCCAGAGTAGAGATACTAACTCAGTTGTGGAAGATGGTAGGGGAAGCTAATTTAAGGAAGGTTTCCTAAATGAAGTGACAGTTTTAAGTAGTAGTGATTTGCCAGAGTATTCACTTTACCATGTATGTGTTGTTTGTGTGAGAGAGAAAGCGTGAATGAGAGAGAGAGAGAGAGAGAGAGAGAAAATGAGAATGGGGACCAGCAGGTGGCTTGGTTGTTAAGGCACTGTATCCCACATGAGCTGATCCTGCAGTTTGAGTCCCTGACATGGTGGCTTGGAATGTGTACTGGGTGTATGTGTGTGCATGCCCAAAATCTTGAGGGAAAAATGGAGTAGAAGGAATTGTCTTTGCCATCCCCCCAGGGGAGGGGGGTGATTTCTCAGTTTCCTTCTATGTCTCTATATGTCTCTCTCCAGAGAGCTCTAAGGACCCTATGACAGAATCTAAAACAAAAAAAAAGAAGGAAATGAACGAAAAGAATAAGAATGGATCACAATCTGTGTAACAGTAAGTTCTGGAACCAATGGTATGGGATGAGTGTGAGGGCAGTGGCCAGGTTACTTAAGCTCTCTCTAGCAACAATGGCAGAGAAAAGTTTTAGAAAAATAGGATCAGAGGAAGAGAAATCAATTAAGGTATTGCAAGAGTCTAGAAGAGAGTGGCAGTGGAAATGGAGCAAAAGGATGAAAGCTAAAATAATTTAGGAATTGGAAGCTGCATGAGTAGGAACTGTGGTGGAAGGACCTTAGGAAGAGGTGCAACTCAGAAGTCAAAGTAGGAGTTTTAAAAAGAGTACATGATCAGAGTGTGGAGGGTGAGAACCAGAGGACTTCTAGGGTTCTGTGAAGGGAATCAGAGTCTAAGGCAGCAACTAAAGAAGCGTACAGTTGTATCAGGAGCAAGATATTCATGTGCATTTATGGTGATTACAGGATGGACGCATTGAACTTGTTTTGCAGACTCTGCCTGGAACATGAATATTTAGGGAAGTAGTAGGAGAAAAGACTGAACATGTGAGTTAAGTTCAGATTTTAGAAGACTCTGAAAGTCATTTAAATGAGTTTTCAGTAGGCACTAGGGAACCACTAATGCTTTTTGAACAGAAAGTATCATAGTTATGTTTGGAAAAGACTCATCTAGCATTTGGTTGAGTTAGAGGATAGTCTAAAGGTAGAGATGTTACTACTGGAGCGAAATGGTGTGAAAAGGAAGGATTTGGCGTCAATGGACTGATCTCTAGTATAGGGGTTTGTGTTCCAGGGGACATTATATACGTTTAATTCACTGAATGATGCCCCTGGAGCTGTAACCAGACCCAGTATTGATTTTGGCTGACTGGAAGAATAGGTTTCTGTTTTAGAAATGGGGAGCTAGTAGTTGACCAGAGGAAACCAGTTCACTTCCTGTTTTAGCCACATGTATTCTCTGTACGTACACAACTTCTCTCAAAGTCTGAGTAGTGAGACCCTCTTCCTGCCTCTATTTCTCAGTGAATAAATAAACAAACTAACTTACTTTTAAAATTTAAAATAAAGGCCATGCCATGGCCTCGTGGCTAAGGCAGCAAGATCCCATAGGCCAACCCCACAGTTTAAGTGCTGGTCTGGCGGCTTGAAAAACACACCAGGTGCTTGTGGGAGTATGGGTTACAGTGTAACCAAACCTCATGGGGATTACCTTCTTGTTTTCCTTCACTCTTTCTATCTCTCGGTGAGCATGTGTCCTTCTGGCAAAAATTTTTTAAAAAGTTTATTAAATGCATGAGTATTTCTTTATTTTTTGCATTTCATAGCTTTGCTGTTTTATAAAACCATAATAGTTGAAATTTATACTGTGGCCTCAGGATCTTTCTTTGTCTTCTAAGTTTGACAGCAAGCTTTTTTAAGCTCTCTTTGCCATTTTTAGTTTTTTCCATTTTCCTTGGGAGAGGGACTCTTTGTTTCCTTTACAACTTACAACACAATGTTTTGTTTTGTTTTTTTTTTAATTTCTGTAAGTTCATTTTTCTGTATACTTGGATTTTTAATCATTTTAATTTAAGATTTTCTGGTTTTCTAAAAGCTTGTTTCTTTTATGAGTGAGAGACAGAAGAAAAAGAGACAGCATCCTCAATAGGGTCTTGAGGCCATGATCTCCTCTAAGCTATCAGCCAGCCCTATATCATGGGCAGATGTGTGCCTGGTATACCCAGAGGGAGCTCTGAGCCCAAACTGGGTATATTCCCTTGTCATGTTTTAGAAACACATCAACTTCTGGCACCAATAAGCCCAGTTTTTAATATTTATTTTTAGAAAGTTGATCTTAGGCCAACTGATGACATGAGAGTCGAGGCAGCTGGATCTCACATGGGTGACTGCATGATTAGAATCCTGAACCTGGGAGCTTGAAAAACATGCCAGAGACACGTAAATGTGTGCCCAAAATCCAAAAGAAGGGAGAAATAGAAGACAGATAATGATATGACCATTCCCCTTGGTGGGGGTGCTTTCTCACTTTCCCTCTCTCTCTATCTCTCTCCAGCAAGTGCACAAACCCTCTGGCAAATAAAATAAGAACAACAATTTTAAAATGAAAAATAATTGAAGATTAATCCCAAAAGTAATATATGAACACTGTAAGAAACCCAAATAAAAAAGCAATATGTGAAGTAAAAAATGAAAATCCCTCCGTTCCGTTCCTCAGAGATCGTTAGCTGTATATTTCTAGATGTTATTTTTACTTGTACTATATATTTGCATTTCAAAAAACAAAAAAGCAAGCTGAGCATGGCAGCTTTTTATTTTCTTTAAGAATTATTTATTTAATTCCATTTGTTGTTATTATTTTTTAATTTGAACAGAGAAATGGGAAGTGAGAAAGCAAGCCACCAGGCCCGGGCCTCAAACTGTGGTCATGTGGTCAGTCATGTGGGAGTCCAGCACTTTAACCACCACGCCACCTGCTGACCCTGAGCATGTCAGCTTTAATACCAATACTTGGGAGGCTGAGGCAGGCAGCTTGTGAGTTCGAGGCTGTCGTGAGCAATATAGCAAGATCCTGTCTCTTTAAGGAAAAAGAAAAAAAGGCAGAAAGCTAGGGGAACACTGTACATGAAGGTTTACATTTTGTTTTTTTATTTCTCATAGTGACTTATTTAATCAGTAATTATTAAAGGTCACTCCAGTTGTTTTCAGTTTTCTTGCTTTTAAAATAATATGCTAAAGCCAGCAGATGGCATGATGATTAAGGCTTTGGGCTCCACATGGCCAACTGTAGTTCAAGTACTGAACCTGGCAGCTTGCTTTCTCACTCCCCAACACCCACAATCTCTCTAGTGAGCACTCTTGCCCTGTGGGAAACAAACAAACCCATTATTTTAAATTCTTAAAAAAAATTATTTTAATTTTCTTTTTGGAGAGGTTTTTGCTATAGGGCACATACGCTCTCCAGACAGACAGACAGAGAGATAGAAAGCGAGAAATCACCCCCCAGGGGGTATGGCCACACCTCAGTCCCTTCTCCTCCATTCTCCTCTCGGGATCTTGGGCACGCACGCACACGCACCCGGCATGAGTTTAAGCCACTGGGGCCAGGACTCGAACCGCGGTCGACTACATGGGAGTTCAGCAACATAGCCATTTCACCAACTGCTGGTCCCAAAAAAGAATTATTAATTTAGATTTATTTTTTATTATTATCATTATTTTAAATTTGCTATAGGACATGTGTGCTCACCAGAGAGAGATAAAGCGAGAAAGCAAGCCTCCAGTTCTTGGATTCAAACCACGGTAGGCCATGTGAGAGTCCAGCACCCTTAGTCACCATGCTACCTGCGGGCCTCATCTGCTTATATATCTATAGGGTAGATTACTGAAAATGGCATTGGCTATCTTAGAATATTTAAAATTTTTATAAATTCTGCCAAACCACCTTTTATAAAGGCTTTAATAGGGCTGGCAGGTGGCACAGTGGTTAAGGTGGACACCCACGTGGCTGACCACAGTTCGAGTCCCAAGCCTTGTGGTTTGCTTTTTCTTTCTCTGTTCAAATGAAAGAATAATAGTAACAACAAATTGAAAAATTAAGTTATTATTTTTTTTTCACTATAGGGTGCATGCGCTCCCCAGACAGACAGAGACAGAAAGCGAGAAATCACCCCCCGGGGGGGATGGTCACGCCACAATCTCTTCTCCTCCATTCTCCTCTCGGGATCTTGGGCACACATGCACATGCGCCCGATGTGAATTTTAAGCCACCGGGTCCGGGATGCAAACTGCGGTGGGAGTCCAGCGACATAGCCATTATGCAACTGCTGGTTCCCCCAAATTAAGTATTTTTTAAAAGGTTTTGATAGTTTATAGTCTCTCTAGGAGTACAGTTTTACTATAACTTCATTGATATGCTTTTATTCTAATTTGATTATTTATGAATTGGATAACAGTCTGTTCCTGAAAATTAGAGACTATACTTTTTCATTCTCCCTTAATGTTTTGTTGTTTTCTTGGAAATAGTTCTAAGAAAACTAAGAAAAGGCATGGAGACTATTGATCAAAGGATGTCTCCTATGTGATTTATTTTGTTTTTCCAGCTTGAAATATATCTGGACTCCTTATGTGTGCATGTTAGCAGCATTTGGTGTATGCTGTCCTGAGCTTTGGATGACATTGTTCAAATGGCTTCGATTAAGAACGGTACACCCAATATTGTTGGTGAGTCATTGTTATTTTCTGTGAAGTATTTGTTTCTCCTCTAGTTATATGAGATCAAATCCTGAGAAATGGAAACCACTTTTTTTTAAAAGAATTATTTTATTTAGGACCAGCAGATGGCGTGGTTGTTAAGGCGGTGAACACTCCCGTATGGCTGTCCGTGGTTCACGTCTTGGACCTGTTGGCTTGCTTACTCATTTTCTCTCTCTCTCTGACAAATTAAAAATAAATAAGTGAATAAATAAAATTAAATAAAATAATTATTTTTTTAGAAGTGTATTTCTAAAGAAATTACAGTGGTTAAGGTGGACACCCACGTGGCTGACCACAGTTCGAGTCCCAAGCCTTGTGGTTTGCTTTTTCTTTCTCTGTTCAAATGAAAGAATAATAGTAACAACAAATTGAAAAATTAAGTTATTATTTTTTTTTCACTATAGGGTGCATGCGCTCCCCAGACAGACAGAGACAGAAAGCGAGAAATCACCCCCCGGGGGGGATGGTCACGCCACAATCTCTTCTCCTCCATTCTCCTCTCGGGATCTTGGGCACACATGCACATGCGCCCGATGTGAATTTTAAGCCACCGGGTCCGGGATGCAAACTGCGGTGGGAGTCCAGCGACATAGCCATTATGCAACTGCTGGTTCCCCCAAATTAAGTATTTTTTAAAAGGTTTTGATAGTTTATAGTCTCTCTAGGAGTACAGTTTTACTATAACTTCATTGATATGCTTTTATTCTAATTTGATTATTTATGAATTGGATAACAGTCTGTTCCTGAAAATTAGAGACTATACTTTTTCATTCTCCCTTAATGTTTTGTTGTTTTCTTGGAAATAGTTCTAAGAAAACTAAGAAAAGGCATGGAGACTATTGATCAAAGGATGTCTCCTATGTGATTTATTTTGTTTTTCCAGCTTGAAATATATCTGGACTCCTTATGTGTGCATGTTAGCAGCATTTGGTGTATGCTGTCCTGAGCTTTGGATGACATTGTTCAAATGGCTTCGATTAAGAACGGTACACCCAATATTGTTGGTGAGTCATTGTTATTTTCTGTGAAGTATTTGTTTCTCCTCTAGTTATATGAGATCAAATCCTGAGAAATGGAAACCACTTTTTTTTAAAAGAATTATTTTATTTAGGACCAGCAGATGGCGTGGTTGTTAAGGCGGTGAACACTCCCGTATGGCTGTCCGTGGTTCACGTCTTGGACCTGTTGGCTTGCTTACTCATTTTCTCTCTCTCTCTGACAAATTAAAAATAAATAAGTGAATAAATAAAATTAAATAAAATAATTATTTTTTTAGAAGTGTATTTCTAAAGAAATTAAAAAGGAATTTTTAGATTAAATTAAATTTATTTATTTTAATTTGACCAGAGAGGGACAGAGTAAGAGAGGGCGAGAGAGCCAGAAAATGAGAAAGCAAGCCACCAGGTCCAGGACTTGAACTGTGGTCAGCCATATGAGAAGTCTGCTCCATGCGACTTGCCGGCCCCGTGAGATGGAAACAATTGAAATGGCATGAGTAAATCATATTATGGCTTACAGGTAGATGAAGAGATCCTGTGGAAATCTTTTATTTCTGATTATAAAAGTAATGAATTTCAGGCCAGCTGATGGCATGGTGGTTCATGCACCTGAATCTGACATGGTTGCCTGTGTGGTTAGAGTCCCAGACCCAGCAACTTGGAAAAACATGTGAGGCATGTGTGCATGCACATCCAGCATTCTTAAAGGAGGGATAAATAAAGGAGTTACTGCAGTGCGAGTATCCCGCATGGAGAGTGCTTTTTCATTTTTCCTCTGTCTCTCTCCAGCAAGCACATGCACCCTCTGACAAAAATTTAAAAAAAAAAAAAATAAAATCAATTCCAGCACATACAACTTAAAAAAATAAAAGCTGAACAAGTAAATCGACTCAGCTGTGGTGACACAAATGGGAGGATGTTTTTGGGGGCTGTCTGCATGTAACGCCTGGTTGGTTCTTGGCCCAGCCTAAATAGGCTTCACACAGTGTTGTGTGCCTGTGATCCTAGCAAATTGGGAGGCTGAGCAAAAGGATCACAATGTAGTGTAACTCTGTCAAAAATGCCTTTCTTGCTCTTTTCTCTCTCATTCTCCTTATAACAAAAATAAATAGAGTGGACAAGAAATTAACTAGAGAAATGGAAGAGGATGAGGTCATGGTGGCCTCACGGGTCATGCTGTGGAGCTTGGTCTTTACTCACAGGCAGTAGGAAGGCTTCGGGATTTATATGCCTCATAGGGATTAAGAGTCAGACAGCTTTTCTGTTAGCTCACCATTACAGTTCTGTGAAGGGTAGGCTCATGGACAAGTCTCAAGCCATGGTGGGTGGAATTAATAGAAGCTTCAAGTTATTTAATGCTCACTATGTGTTAAGTACTATTCAAAGTATTTCATATGCTGTTTAATGCTAGGTTTTACTTTCTCTGCTTTATAGATAAGGAAACTAAGGCTTAAATTGTTTAAATAACTTGTTTGAGAGTAGAGTTTGTAAGTGTGGAAACCACGATATACATCCAGGTTTTTTCTGATTTCAAAGCTCATTCAGTTAGTATTGTGCTATATTGGAGTGAAAAAAAAAAAGTAGTTTGAAAAGAAGATTATAAGGAGTCCCTACTATGTGGTGCTGGCCCAACCATGCCTGGAATATAGCCTTTAGCTCTGGGTTCCATAGTTTAAAGGAACATGAAACTCTCAAACAATTTCAGAAGAACATGACCAGATAGTATAAGAACTTGACACAAATGTGTGTTTCCTATGCCATAACTAAAACAAAACAAAAAAGATCAGGAGAAAAAGATGTTCAGAATCCAAGCCCTTTTCAGCACCAGAGTTCAAGCCATTACCACCTCTTCCCTGGATCCTTGAAAACAGCTTCCTAACTGGTCTACCTGCTTCTGCCCTTGCCCTGTGAAGTCCATTTACAACACAGAGACCACAGCGATCTGTGTAAACTAAATACTGCTCTTCTGCTCAAAACCGTCTGATGACTTCCCAGCTCTGCAGGTCAAAGCTCAAGTCATGTGCACTTGGTTACATGCCTGTCCTCTGACTAAGATCCAAGACCTAGGAGGCCAGGGTTTTAGCATGTTTTGTTCATTATGCTAATACGAGCATCTATACCAGTGCCCAGCACAGAACAGACACCCAGGACATTAGTCTTGATAACCATGCGAGTGATCTTTTACCATATTTCCAGGGCTACAACATGTTCAAATCAGTCCACGCAGGATCCCTGCAAATCTTGATAAGGGAGATATGGGCTCCATTACTCACCAAATCTACTTCTAGTCCAAAAAAAAAAAAAAAGATTATAAGTACTTGATTAAGTATGAGAGAATGAGGCAAAAGGAGAAATCATAGGTATTTGCTAAGTCTCTGGTTAATATGTCTGTAGATCATGGGGTCACCAATAGATATGGGATGATAATAAGAAGAAATCTGACTTTGGCAGAAAGATGATGAATTATATTTAATAAAGTCATGTTGTAGTTTGCCGGTCTTATTCTCCGAAGAATTTATACATCCTTATTTAAAAATAATAATGGGACCAGCAGGTGGCAAGGAGGTTATGGCACTGGATCCCACATCGCCAGCTGCGTGGTGAGTCTTGGACCCAGTGGCTTAAAAAACAAACCAGGTGCCTATGTGTGTATGCCCCAAATCCCAGGAGACTGGAAGAGAAGAGATTGTGCCATGACCATCCTTCTTGAAGAATGATTTCTCACTTTTCCCTCTCTGTTTCTTTCTTTTTTTTTTTTTTTTTAAAGAATTATTTATTTATATTATTATTTCACATGAGTTTTGCCAGAGAAAGACAGAGAGAGAGAGGGAAAGTGAGAAAGCAAGCCACCAGGTCGGGACTCGAACTGTGGCCAGCCATGTGGGAATTCCAGCACCCTAACCACCACGCCACCTGCTGGCCCCTTCCCTCTCTGTTTCTGATGAGCACAAGCACCCTATAGCAAAAACACTTTTTAGAAAAGTATGTTAGCTATTTTTCCCATGTTAACTAATTGTCTCTTTTGTCTTGTTTTTGTTTTTTGTTTTTTAAGGTTTTTGCCAAAGGGTGAGTACGCTCACCAGAGAGAGACAGAGAGAGGGAAAGTGCGAAATAATCTCCCAGGGGGGTGGCATGCCACAGTCCCTTCTCCATTCTTTGATTTTAGGCATGCACGTTCCACACATGCGCCCAGTGTGATTTTTAAGCTCCAGTGATCTGGGACTCAAACCGTGATCAGCTATGTGGGAATCTAGCACCTTACACCATGCTCTCAGCTCACCCAATTCATTAGCTTTTGTTTTTGTTGTTACCTTTTCATGTAGTAGTTCTGTATCCTTTGTAAACTCCTGATAACATAAATTCCTAGCAAAAATTTCAGTTATTGATTTATTTCTTGAGATGTTACTATGAGATTACCTTTTCATTGTTTTCCCTGTAGTAAATATGGGCCAGCTGATGGCATGTTGGTTAAGGTGACTGGATCCTGTATAGCTGACTGCGCAGTTCAAACACCAGACCTGGTGGCTTTAAAAACACAGAGGGTGTGTGTGCATGTGTGCCCAAAATCCTGAGGGAAGGGAAAAGAGGAGAAGAAATTGCAGTGTGACCATGCCCCATTGGGGTGCTTTCTTGCTTTCACCCTGTCTGTTTCTCTCTGGTGAGTGTATACACCCTCTGGCAAACTTTATAAAACATAATGGTGAATATATGTGTCTCACTTTACCTCCAGCTTATTGATATGGCTGAAATTCATTGGTCTTTCCCATCTCACTTTGTGAACTAGGTTCCATGCTGGCTTTATTTTCATAAAAATGTTTACATAGGGGCCAGCAGGTGGTGTGGTGATTGGGGCACTGGACTCCCACATGGCTGACTGTGGTTCAAGTCCTGGGTGCAACGACTTGAAACTCACATTAGGCAAATGTGCATGCATGCCCAAAATTCCGAGAGGAGAATGGAGAAGGGATTGTGGCATGGCCATCCCCCTGGGAGGTGATTTGTTGCTTTCTCTCTCTGTTTCTCTATAGATCTATAGATATTTATAATTATAAAGATAAGTGATTGGTCACAGAGTTAGTGTCTACTACCTACCTCTAAGAAGTGTATTTATGCATAACCCTCTTTGCTTTAATATTCTAGGCTCTTATTCTGAGCATGGCTGTGCCCACTATAATAGGTCTCAGTTTATGGAAAGAGGTAAGAAAATTAGATTGTACTTTTATATTACTAAATATAAAAATTATTTGAAAGATAATAAATTAATATGTGTGGGTAGGAAATTTATATTGAGATACTACTGTAATAGAATAAAAGTATCCAGTCTTAGTAATGCTTACATTTTTGTCATTAAGAAATGATAGAAGGGCTAAAACATTTTGAGAACAACATCTGATTCAATTTTCTGTAGTCTAAAAATGCTATTGTTAATTCAGTTTATGATTGGCAAAGGAATTTTACTTGACATTGAGAATATTCTATAAGCCCCAATTTTTAATATCTGTGAAATGATATATATTCTTTGGCTTATTATAATGTAACATGAAACTAATTGCAATAAAGCTGCAAACTATTTAGCCTCCAATTTATTTATTTAGTATGTGAGTACATGAAAGATACGATACAACCAGTGATTAATTGTGTAGGACTGATGAAAATATTACGGAATATAGGGAGTGATTTGTCAAAAGATAAGATTATTTGGATGAAGAATAAGCAAGTCATAGAAAAAAAGCAAAGTAATCTATGCCATTTTTTTTCATGTGAACAATGTCTTAATGTCATTTGTTTGAAGTTAGTCTCTTGGTCTTTGAACTACACTGCAGCAGTTTTTAACTTGCGTGTTATTTACACATACCTTTTGGATTTTGTTTTGCATTTTAGTTTTTTCCAAGATTAATGACAGAGTTAACAGAATTACAGGAATTCTATGACCCAGATACGGTGGAACTTATGACCTGGATAAAGTAAGAATTAAACTATCCAAGACTGTTGCTAAGCTATTAATTAATCACTGCATGCTTTCTAATGAATTCAGGGGAAATAATACTTAATAATTTTCCAAATGTTTTTCATAAAACTCAGGAATTCTGTCTTTAGAGATATGTAGTTTTTGATTAGACCTGTAATTCTCATCTTCTAATTAAACTTGTCTTCTTGTGCTTGAAAATATAAGTATGAGATTTGAGACTCTCATTGTCGAACACCAGAAATGGAGAATAAAAAGAAAGATACCTTTTTTATTTAGCCAAGAGGAAACTTTTTAAAAAGTTTCTTTCTTTCTTCTTCTTCTTTTTTTTTCTTTTTTGGAGAGGTTTTTGCTATAGAGCACGTGCACTCGCCAGAAAGGCAGAGAGAGACAGAGAGACAGAAAATGAGAAATCACCCTCCAGGGATATGGCCATGCCTCAATCCCTTCTCCATTCTCCTCTCGGGATCTTGGGCACACACACACATGCACCCAGCTTGAGTTGAAGCCACCAGTCCGGGACTCTAACTGCGGTTGACTACATGGGAGTCCAGTGACATAGCCATTACACCAACTGCTGGTCCCAAAAAATTTATTTTTTGAATGAGTGAGAGACAGAAAGAGTGAGAGTGATGGTAAGACAGTATCCGCTAATGGGGTTCTGACACTGCAGCGAACCTCCAGCCTTAGCCATCTCTGGATTATGGGCATCTGTGCACTCAGTAGACTCAGGGAGGTCTCTGGATATAAACCCAAATCCCTCCTATGTGCATCATCCTCACAGAGCATCTGATTTCACCATTGTGTCACTGTCTTGTCTCAAAATACTTCCTTTGCCCTGAGTTGGAGATGGGGTGGGTGGTAGAATGCTGGTCTTGAAACCAAAGGGTTTAGATTTTAATGCCTATGCAGGACAAAAGATGTGGTCAGAGGCCTATGGAAGCAAGAAATTGGAATTTTCAATATATATAACATGGGGACCCTCTGTCAGTAAAAGGATGGAATAGCAAAATATTCACCAAATGGTAGAGAAAGATCATAAGAAAGCATGTTTGTCTTTGCTTCAGTTCTTGGTCAAAAAAAGTTCCTCTCTGAATTGCTAACAGTTGGATCTAACTTCACATATCAATAAGTTTTTAGTTTGAAATTACATTTGTCTAATCCAGGAAGCCCTAATCAAGAAATTAACCTAAAAAGTGGTTTTAGTCTTATCTGGTATGCCTGATAGATACTCAATCCAGGCTACATAGGATTCCATAAATAAGGTTTCATGAAGGTTTGCGCTAAGATTATAAAACACATGAGGAAACTGTACAGCAAGTATTAGTTATGGCTAGTGGTAAACAGCAAATTAGATTCCTGCAATTTCTGGTAATAAAGTTTGTGTCATGTAGATATTGTTGCATAACAGATTGCCACAAAACTTAGTGGCTTATAAACAATAAATATAGGACTATTTTTGCTCCATTTAGAGTAAAATATGGTAGGTCAGTGGAGAGGATTCTCTGGATCTAACTAAACCAGCTTAACTGGGACTGGATAGCCTGGCATGGCCTCTCTCACATGCCTGAGTTTGGCTTGGTGTTAGCTAAGGGGATCAAAGTGACTTGGTCTCATTTCTCTCATCATCTAGCAAGTTCACCCAGGCTTATTCGCAAGATGGTAGCTGTAAGTTCCCCGGAGTAGCAAGAGAGGATAACTCTCAATGTCATGCATGTTTTGCATTTCTGCTCTCATGTTTGCAGTTGCCCCTTTGGCCTAAGCAAGTCCCATGAACAAAACCAGAGTTTCTTCCAAGGCCGTGGCCATAGGCAAGAGGAATTATTATAGCTATGTTGTAACCTATCTACCGCATGGATAGAGACTGTGAAATACCTATGTTGTAATTTATGAAAGATGTAGAAGAAGAAATGAGAACATGAAGAATGAATAAAAACTATCCAAAAAAAGGCCAGAAAGATGGGGGGGGGGGCAGACAATGAGGAGTAGATTTATAGACGCCAGAAAGATGGCGGGGGGCAGACAATGAGGAGTAGATTTATAGAATAGGTATATAACAATGTGGTCTTATTATAATGTCCTGATACTGCAAAGACTCCCCTTATATGAATTCAAAATTATTTTCTTTAGAACATTCTTAAATATTGCTCATTGAAGGCTGGCATATGGCATGGTAGTTGAGGCGCTGGACTCCCACGTGGCCAATCACGGTTTGAGTCTTGGACCTGGCGGCTTGCTCTCTCACTCTTTTTCTCTCTCTCTCTCTGTTCAAATTAAAAAAATAATAATGATGAATAAAGTAAAATAATTCTTTAAAAAAATTTTGTTCATTGATACCTTTTTATGCATTGTATCTACCATTGTAGAGCACTTTATATAACTTTGTATTGTCACTAAGAAAAGAGGAAGTTACATCTCTGTGTGTGATTTACCACAGTATTTTCACATACAACAAAGACTTGAACAATTATATATTAGACAATTGTACATCGGACAGTTGTGCAATGGACAGTTGGCAGTTATGTTAGTATAGCATAGATTTTTTTTGTATGTTTTCTCACTACTGAGGACTGTCTGTGGCCATGTGCCCTTTTTTTTAGTTCTCAAGCCTGGCATGATGCCTAGTACATACCAGGTGGGTGCTGAATATTGAACACAGGAAACAATAAATGGAGGCATTAGATCAACCCTTTGGGACCTGCTCGTAGGTTTCCTACCTTGTAAATGGCCTCTATCTAGGCCTTTGGATCACAGTTCAGAATGGAGAACCTCCGTGTGTTATTTGGAGACAGACACATGGGTAAAGATAGGCAAGTAGCAGGATGATAGATGGTTTTGGAAGGGGTTGTGGTGGTTAATATTTGCAAAGGGTGAATTTGAGAATTTATAGTATCAACCATTGAATTAGCCACCCTATCTGAAGTAGTATTTTCTTGTTACTATCTCCTTACTCTGCATTATCTTTAATAATAATGTTACCATCTGACATACATATTAATTATCTCCCCTTGCTCTCTCTTTTATTAAAAGTTTCTACATTTTCAGCACTCAACACAGTGCCTGAAAGGTCCAGCCTGGTGGTACAGTCAGTAGCACACTGAACTTCAGTGGTGGAGGCAATATGGTTTTCTGTGGGCTCAGGTTTGAGATCAGCCTAAAACACACTGGGCATGCACGAATGCCTAGGATGCCAATTAGCTGGAGGTCTGGGGCAAAAGGATGGCAGCATGATGAGAGACTATTGTGGATGCTTCTCTCTCTTTCCTTCTCATGTACGTGCTCATGTTCTCTATTTATGAGTAAATAAATAACTCTTAAAAACAAACAAAATAATGCCTGGGGTGTAGTAGATGCTCTTTTTTAAAAAAAAAAAAAACTTTATTTATTTTAATTTAACTAGAGTGAGAGAGAGAGAGAAGGAAGGGGAGAGGGAAAGTGAGAAAGCAAGCCACTAGTTCCAGGACTCAAACCGCGATTAGCATGGGGGAGTCCAGCGCCCATAACCACCATGCCCCCCCCTTTTTTAATGAATCCAGAAATAAAATGATAACTGACATTGAAAAAGTGTAATATATTAATACATTGTAGATTGCCTGAGGTAATATAAGTCAATGATGTAATAGTATACTTGCCTTTTCAGTGTGTAAATCTTTATGGTTCTTTGCAGAAGGCAAGCTCCAGTTGCAGCTGTGTTTGCAGGGAGTCCACAGTTAATGGGTGCAATTAAATTATGCACTGGATGGATGGTGACAAGCTTGCCTCTTTACAATGATGATGATCTTCTCAAGAGAAATGAAAATGTAAGGCATTTTAATTCTACAATTGTGTCTATTTTACAGCACTCTGTATTTTCTTACAGTTCTATAGTGATTCATGAGTTCTAAGTTAGTAAGACAATCCAAATAATTTTTGAAGAGTTAAAGGTTTTTTTTAGTATAGGGTGCATGTGCTTGCCAGAGAGAGAGAGACAGGGAGAGTGAGAAATGACTCCCCTAAGGGGGATGGCCACACTGTAATTCCTTCTCCTCCATTTTCCCCTTGGGATTTGGGGCATGCATGCACATGTGCTCAGTGTCTTTTTCAAGCTGCTGGGTCCGGAACATGAATCACTGAGTTGGCTTGTGGGATTCAACCCCTTAACCACCATGTCACTTGCTGGTTTAATTTTCAAAAGATAGAACATTTAGATACTACATTTAACCAAGAGGAGAGTTAAAATAAAAAAGATTCAGAGATTAAAAAGATTAAAGATTAAAAAGATGAAAAATTAAAAGATTTTACACATATTTCTAGGAAAAGTATTTACTTTTCTGCAAAGTATTAGGAAAACTGAAAAGTAATTTTTTTTTTTTTTTTTTTTTTTTTGAGAGAGAGATTTTAGCTATAGTGCTAAAATCTTGCTGGAGAGACAGAGAGAGATAAATAATACTCCAGAGTGGATGGCCACACTGCAGTCCCTTTCCCACTGTTCTCCTCTCAGGATTTTGGGCACATGTGCTCATGTGCTCAGCATGAGTTTCAAGCTGCCAGGTCCAGGACTCAAACTGTTCAGTCACGTGAGAGTCCAGCACCTTAACCACTGCACCACCTGCTACCCTGAGATTCTTTTCTTTATGTAATGCAAATTACTTAAAATCCAGTGTGCTGATTAGATGTACAACTCCAAATATACTGAAAACCATTGAACTGTATTGAGTTAATTGTTTTGTTAACAAATAAAGAAATAGTTATTTTTGTCATTTTCCTAGCTAGGGTATAATATCTAGAGATAGGTAAGAGCAGTGTAAGATGTTAATTCCAAAACCATAGTTTAGAAAGTCACATTTTTTTTAATCGCCAGTGTGTGCTTACCAAAGACTGTGCCCTGCCAATAGGGCATAGTCTCTTTTCCATCTCTCCATCCTTTGGGATTTGGACACACATGTGCCCGGCATGATTTTCAAGCTTCCAGGGCTAGAACTTGAACCATGGAGGGCCATGTGGGATCCACTCCCTTAACCACAAGGCTATAGGGCTGCCTGTCACAATTTTTTGTAAGAGAAAGTTATAAATTTTGTTTTTGTTTTATATTTTCTTCAATTTTATTTATTGAATACATTTTTTTTAAGAATTATTTTATTGATTTATTTTAATTTGACCAGAAAGGGACAAAGAGAGAGAGAAAGCGAGAAAGTAAGCTGCCAAGTCTGGGACTTGACCACTTGAGTGGTCAGTCATGTGGGAGTCTAGTGCCCTTAACTACCACTCCACCTGCTGGCCCCTGAATAAGTCTTTTCTAACTGGCAAGTATACGAAAGTATTTTCAAATATCTATACAAATGTGAATATTGGAATTCTTGAAGATAAACTATTATGAATTTAAATTAGTTGATTAAAATTTATTTTTAGAATGATTTATATTCTTTATTATTATGATTTTTAAAAAATTTGCTATAGTTATTAGAGAGAGACAGAGAGGAGGGAAAATGAGAAAGCAAAGTATGGTCCTTACTCTCTTGAAATACAGTTGGGAATACAATCAACAATCAATCAACAATCATAAAAACATTTCTTAGAAGATCATATATTGGGACCACCAGATGGTGTAATGGTTACATTGCTGGACTCTTATGTAGTTGACTATGGTTTGAGTCACACTTAAAACTCACCGGGCGTGTGTGTATGCGTGTACCTGAGATCCCAAGAGGAGAATGGAGGAGAAGGGATTGCAGCGTGGCCATCCCCCTTAAGGGTGATTTCTCGCTTTCTGTCTGTCTGTCTGTCTCTCTGGCAAGTGCATACACCCTATAGCAAAAATTTTTCAAATAAAGAACATCTTGTATTAATACTAGCATTTTATGGAATAGATTTTAAGAAATCCATCTCTTAGCCTGCTACTATATCCTAGTGGTTAAAGGCGCAGATCCCACATGGCCAACTGTGTGGTTTGAATCTCAGCCTCAGTGAATTGAAAAACATGCCAGGCGTGTATCATATCAGTCCAAAATCTCAACAGGGTGGAGAAACAGAAGAAAAGGATTGTGGCATGACCACACGCTACTAGGCAGTGCTCTTTCTCTTTGTCTCTCTGTGACAATAGAAAAAAATCCTCCATCTGTCACATTAGTATCCCCAAACACCTTTTATAATTTTCTATGTTCTCTTCTAGCCTATACCTCTGTACATGATATGTTTTTTTATGGTTGTTATCAAGATTGCATTATATGATTTTAGAATTTATTTATACCAGGGAACAGCAGGTGGCACGGTGAGTAAGGTACTGGATACTCCCACATGGCCGACCATGGTTCTAGTCCAGGACCTGGTGGCTTGCTTTCTCACTTTCTCTCTCTCTTTCTGTGTGTCTCTCTCTGGTCAAATTAAAATAAATGAATGAATAAATAAAATTAAATAATTCTTTTAAAAAAGGAATTTACTTATACTACATTATATGTTTTAGATTTAGTCTTGACCAATATGAAACATGAATATAGCTTCCTAAGGGCACAAACAAAGTCTAGTGGTATCTTTATTTTCCATAGATAGTATTCACTACTAAGAACACAGGGCCAGCCAGTGGTGTGGTGAAGGCAACAGGATCCCACTCGAGCTGGCTTTGCAGTTCGAGTCCCAGACCGGCCTTTGAAAAACATGCTGGGCACCAAGCATGTGCTCATGCATGTTCAGAATCCCCAGAGGAGACTGGAAGAGACAGGATTGCAGCACGGCCAGCCTTCCAAGGGGTGATTTCTCACTTTCTCTCTTTTTCTTTCCACACCTCCTGCCCCCCATGGAGTGTACATACCATATAGCAAGAACCAAAAAAAGGCAAAAAGAGTGTAATAGATGCTCAAAGTATGCTTTGGATTAACAGAAATTTTAACTGTCTTTTAAAATCAGTTTTCATTATATCTTTTTAGATTTACCAAATCTATTCAAAGAGATCTGCTGAGGATATTTATAAAATACTGACCTCCTACAAAGCTAATTACCTAATTGTTGAGGATGCTATCTGCAATGAGGTGGGAACTACAAGAGGCTGTAGGGTTAAAGATTTATTAGACATTGCAAATGGCCATGTAAGTAACCATTGGGAAAGTTCACTATTTTGAGGAAATGGTTTTATTTAACCTTGTGTAATCTTCAAACTTTAGTTTGGGGGCTTAACTAAGAATATAACTGAGAGTCGTGTAGTAATGGAGAGGGCATGCAAAAAGTGGTTCGAAGTATTTTTTTTATTGTACAAAAGGAAAGTTGGCATTTTGGGAAAAAAAAAAAAAGTAATTTTACCAGTATCTGTGTTCTTTATTCTTTGCCTGTACTTGTCAGTTTTCAACATTTATGCACAAGAGATAGCATAATTGGGTTTGAATGCTTATTTTAACTTATTATAGTAATCTAAAGAATAGCCTGTTGCATTATTTTCTTTCGTTGCAAGATGGCTTATAATTTGATTCACATCTAAAAAAATTGCTTACTAAATTAAATTAACACAATGCTTGTACATTTAGTCTGTTATCCACAAAAGCGAGTATGTTCAGGGCCACTTGAACTGTTAGGATTTAGCTGTATTTTTTTTTTTTAATTAATTAATTAATTCCCCCCCACACACACATTTTATTGATTCACAAAATACCTCAAACTAAAATATGGACAAAGCTAGAATCTAGTGACAAGTGCATTGTAATTTTCTTCTGAAACTTTTTTTTTTTTAATTACTTAATTTACATTCATTCCCTGAGGATCGTCACAGCACACAAAATGTGATTTCCCATCCAGAATAGACTGCATAGTGGCTGAATCATACATGTTATCATCAATAATTTTCCCTTCCTAGTTTCATATGTTTATGTGTGTATATATATATATTTTACCCTTATTTCTTACCCTCTGCCATTTCCCACCCTCCTCCCACACCATCTCAGGTGTCTACCGCTGTTTTCCATTCCTTTTTTTCCCCACATTTTGTTGATTCACAAAATTTCTTAAATAATCTAACTACTTTCAGTAGCAAGTTCAGCTGGTATGTACGTATCTGTGAATACATGTCTGACTTTAGTTGTGAAACTTTGAGTAGAATGTATATACTATAAGGTACCACCTGGTTAATGCTATATAGCTTACTACAGTCATTAAATAGGTATTTTATTAAATATATTTTTTAATTTCAAGAAAAGTAGTTTTAACTTTAATAAATCAAAGAAATGCTAAGGAATTTTGCTTAAACCTTAAAGCCAGGAAACAGGTTAGGATTCTGTTCAAATAGTAGGTACATGACCCTATTGGCAGCTCAAAACAGGACAAAAATCCTTAAAACCAGAAAACAAAACGTAGAAGAAAATCAGCAGTGTTTTAGTCAAAAGTCATAAAATTCTATTTCACCTGTTGAGTCTCATGTACTTAATATCTTTTGTTGTGGTTTGATCTAACTAGTTAAATTCCAGGATATAATATTCAACTCCAGACTCTTGCCCATGATTAAGTTGGCCATTTTCTTAGTTTTTGAACTCTCATTTCTGTGTGTCTGTATTTAATTTTCCTGGCATAGCACTCCCTTGAGAACTTTTTGGAGATCTGGTCTGGTATTGGTAAATTCTTTCAAGTTTTGTTTATCTGAGAATGTTCTTGTTGTTTCTTCCCATATGAAGGATAATTCTGCCAGGTAGAGTATTCTTGGTTGAAATTGCTTTTCCCTTAACACTTTGAATATATTTTCCCATTCTTTCCTTGCTTGCATTGTTTCCGATGAGAGGTCTGCTGTTAGCCTGATGAGATATCCTATGAAGGTAACTTGACATTTCTCTCTTGCCAATCTTAGTATCTTGTCTTTGTCTGTGGTTTTGGTCAATCTGGCTATAATGTGTCTTGGGAAAGCTCTTCTTGTGTTGATTCTATTTGGGGTCCTTTGTATTTCTTGGGTCTGGATCTTTGAATGCCTCACTAGGTTTATAAAGTTTTCTTGCAGGATTTCATGGTATAGATTACCAATTCCCTTAAAAGTCTCTTCATCTTCTGGGATACCAATTATCCAGATGTTTGGACGTTTGATGATAGCTAGTATTTCTCATATATTATTCTCATTTTGGGGGGCTATTTTCTCAGTTCTCATGGTGGATTTTTTCTAGGCCAGCAGTTCTATCTTCTACATCTGAGATTCTATTTTCTGTATGATCTAGTCTGCTTTTCATACTTTCAAGGGAGGTTTTGATTTCTTGTATTATAGCCTTTATCTCTAACAGGTCGATTTGATTCTTTTTTATAGTATGTGTTTCCTCTTTTAGATCTTGCAAGAATTTCCTCACCTCCTGGAACTCATCAGCTTCTTTCTTCTGCCTCTTGTGCAGTTCAGTGTCTCTCTTCTCTTCCATCTCTGTTAGCTTTGTCACTATGAATATTCTAAATTCTTTATCAGACATTTCCATGATTTCCATTGTACTGTCTGAGGATGAAAAGGAGTTATTTTCCCTTGGAGGAGAGGAATTTTCTTGCTTCTCAAATTTTTTGTGACCCTGAGGTGATTTCTAGTCATCTGATGGATGGTGCGTTTCTTCCTAATTCTTGAAGTTCGATCTGAGTGCTCAGAGGCATACAGAAGGAGGTGATCTGCAATCTTGCTTTCGTTTGTTTTCACTCTTTGTGCATCAATCACATTCAGTGGGAATAGAGGAATATTCTGACCCTAATCGTATTCCAGTGTTTGGAAGCTGTTCACTTGGACCTGTCTAGACACTTAGTGCATAGAGGCTGAGGAGCCAATGAATAAAGAAAAAGAATTAGAGAAGAGAGAAGAAGAAAAAATAAAATAGAAAAGAAGAAAAAAATAAGAACGATTATAAAAAACATAAGATTTTAATTTTAAAAAGCAAAAAATGAAAGTCGTGTGCCGCATGATATTGACATTTCAGAGCTGAAGGTCAGTATTCATCTCAGGATGGGCCTGGCCTGGGTTTGTGCCTTTCCTAAAAGGCACCAATTAACACAATAAAGCAGGAGCTTGAAAGCCCAGACAATAACTTAAAAAAAAAAAAAAAATTAAAAGTCACAGAGAGACAGAGATAAATGGAGATACGGAGGCAGAGGTAGCCCTATCTGCTAGAAATGAATCTGGAGTAAGAAGTCTCAGCAGAAAACCTTCATGTTTTTGGTCAAGCAAATCAGTATTTCAGAGTTAAGTTCAGTATCCATCTCAGGATCGAGTTAGCTATATCTTATTTCTACATTAATTTCAGCTCTTTTTACCAAGCCATCTTCTCAGCCTGTAGTATATATAGTGTAGTATATAGTATATCAGTTTAGGAAGGCTGATAGGGGAGTTGGTGTATCTGATAATTACTGTTGACTGGAATAGATTTCTTGTCTCCTGGGAAAGCTGGGCATGGGGAACCTTAAGAAAAGTTTAGTAGGTCATTTACATGGTAGTGCATGTTCTGTTTAGGTTGCAACCAAGATTTTTTCAGTCACTTCCTAAATAATCATAGCCCTTTGTTGTATCATCAGCAACTGGTTTGGAAGTGACAAATTAGTTTTTGTGATTTCTACTTTTCTTTTTTTTTAATTATTTAATTTTATTTATTCACTCATTTATTTTAATTTGACCAGAGAGAGACACAGAGAAGGAAAGAGAGAGAGGGAAAGTGAGAAAGAAAGCCACCAGGTCCGGGATTTGAACTGTGGTCAGCCATGTGGGAGCGTCCAGCACCTCAACCACCATGCCTCCTGCTGATCCCGTGATTTCTATTTTTCTTTATGACCCCTTAATTGTCTAATATAAATGTATTGTTTTATGCTGCATAAACTTAAATTTTCTCTGTTGGTGTCATCTTTGGTTTATTGGTGACAAAATGAAATTTTATTTTATTGAAGCTTGGGGTTCAGTAATTATTACTATATTGCTAACTGCTGTCTGCAGCTTTTTTTTTTTTTTTTTAAGAGGTTTTGGCCTCATGGTACCTGTGCTTACTAGAGACAGAGACAGTGAGAGGGAAAGTGAGAAATCACCCCTCCTCGGGTGATGGTCACATTGTAATCCCTTCTCCATTTTCCTCCTGGGATCTTGGACACACACACACACACCTGGGATGAGTTTCAAGCCATCTGGTCTGGGATTTGAACTGTGGTTGGCCATGTGGGAGTCCAGCGACATAATCTTTATGCCATTGGCTGATTCCTGTCTGCAGCTTTTAAATTCTGCTCTTGGGTGCCTACATTCCTGGTCTGTTTTGAAAGTCAGATTACTTCTTTTGTGTAATGCCATGCATGGACTTAAATAATCTACCCTTTTACTTTCTGGCTCTCTGAACATCCTTCATAGGCATTAGAATAATATCTAGTATTTCATTAAAAAATACCTCAGGACCAGCAGATAGCATAATGGTTGCATCACTGAGCTCACTGAGCTTCCACGTGGTCAACAGTCTTGGTCTTGGACTGGTGGCCTGAAGCTCACACCAGGTGCTTGTGCGGCTCACTGAGCTTCCACGTGGTCAACAGTTCGAGTCTTGGACTGGTGGCCTGAAGCTCACACCAGGTGCTTGTGCGTGCATGCCCAAAATCCCAAAAGGAGAATGTAGGAGGGGGGATTGTAGCGTGGCTGTCCCCCTCCCCATCGGGGTGGTTTTTCACTTTCTGTCTCTCTTTCTCTCTGGCGAGCACATATGCCCTATAGTAAAAAATCCCTCCCCCCAAAAAATAACCTTCAAACTATTGATAGTTTAACTCTTTTAGAGAACATCATTAGGTGAGAATGTAAAGTTTTGCAATGGATTAATCCCAAGAGCTTACTTGCTTATGAAATAATTCTACACAAAGAGAAAACTAGGAATGTAATATGTCCATTTCTCATTTTACTTTTTTTGTTTGTTTGTTTGTTTTGCTATAGGGTGCATGTGCTCACCAGAAAGAGAAAGGGAAGGTGAAAAATGATACTCCAAGGGGGATGACCATGCCTCCACTCCTTCTGCGCCAGTCTTTTTTTCCCCCTCTGGGAGTTTTGGACACACACGAGCATGCACACACCCAGGGTGATTTTCAGGCTACCAGGTCCAGGGCTTAAATTAGGTAGTCAGCTATGTAAGATCGAACGGCTTAACCTCCAAGCCACCTGATGGCCCTCATTTCGCTTTTTGGCTTATTTCCTTTACATCTGCTCATAACTGTCGTACCTGTGTGACTGTTGTTAATGTACTTGTGTTTATGCTTGCAGAAATATGTACACTGTCTTTGCCCATTTCATCGTGTAAACTGGCCCATGAGTGTTCTGTCAGGTTTTTATGTGTTTCTCAAATAAATCCCTTTAAAAAATGAATACAGACTTTTTAAAAAGTATTTTTTCCTGACTTGTATTTTTAGAATTTCAGCCTTTTAGGATTACAGACTTTAGAGATTTTAAACATTAGGGATTTCTACATTCGGGATTTGGCTTTTGGAATTATTTTAGGATCATGGCCCAAATCCTATATTTTTATGTAAATATAGTCACTTATACATTGATTGCATTTTTTCTATAAGCATTATAAGCTTTTTAATATTGTTTTGTGTCTTTTGATAGGTGGTTTGTGAAGAAGGTGACAAGTTAACCTACTCAAAATATGGGCGATTTTGTCATGAGGTCAAAATTAACTATTCTCCATATGTGAATTATTTTACTAGAGTATACTGGAATAGATCCTATTTTGTATATAAAATCAACACTGTGATATCCTTCCAGTCTTGAAAAATAACAGCCTTCATCTCAAAGACTTATACTGTATGAAGTGAAAAGTGATTTTTCTTCTACCTACGTGGTGTCTTTCACCCATCAGTCTACAGATGTTTGAAACATTGCTGCTTCTTTTCCCCTCCTGCTGCTAACTGGATCCAGAGTTCTGTGGGAAATAGAAGATTAAGCATTACTGTCTTTTGATAAAATGTCAGATCTGCCACTCTGCCATATTTCGAGACAAGTGTCTTCGTTACCTTACATGGGCTTTAATGGTTTTACCTGTTGCAGCATTTTCCCCACAAGTCTTCATTCTATCATAACACTGATCTTGAATCTGAGTGTGTTCAAGATCATAGGATATTTCTCGTATATAACATTTAATAAATACTTAATGTGATATGATTAATAATAGAAGCAAAGAATTATTCTTGCAAGTTTCTGAAAGTGTTTCATGATTTGTAATGTAACTGAAATTTACAGTAAAAAAACAATTTAAATGTTAGTTGAACATATGTGGCATTTAAATTAAAATGGATATAATATAAAGGAAAGTGATTTTTAAGGATATACATAAAAATATATCCAGAATTTTCCATGACACTGTTCTCATCGTCTGCTGCTAATATAAGTGAGCACTTTCTTAGTGATACATGGTGTGTGATATGTGCATTTTATTATTTTATGACTGTCTGTTAAGTGATTATTAAGTGATTTTTCACTTATGCTCATTAGCTTGATACCAGTTTAATCATGATTAAACAATAACACTTGTTACTTGTATACGTATTTCAAAACAGACATTTAAAAATATGTTCTGCAAGTTTTAAAAGTAATATGGATATGGAGTGTATAATCTCTTCACATGTTTTCTACTTAAGTAAAACATTAAGTCTTTATCAGAATCAGTACACTAAAGTAATCAACAATTTCTGGAGATGCATTCAGATGCTGTTAGGCATACTTCTGCATACAGACACATATGCTATAAAATGCAGGTGGTTTTATGAAACTGCGATGCAGTCTTCAACATTGAAAACAGAATGACGCAAAATTATAATAAAATTTAAAACCCAGTTTCACTGCATAAATGCTATGTTCCTTTAAGTATTTTCATATTTTTAATCATGTATTAAAAGAAATTCTAAAATGATTAATTTGACCTTATAAAGAGATTCAAGATAAGCATAGCCTATGGATGTAACATATAATAAGATGGGATGTATGTTTAATTTTACCCTGTTAAGTGAACAGATTTTCAAACTTTTCACTTGTCAGAGTACTGCAAAATTGTATTTTCAGTACTCAGAATTAATACATTAGATGGAAGCATCTGTCCATTATTTTTATTTTTCATAATATACATATATTTAAAGTACTTGCATTCTTTAACTCTAGGATGCTTTGCTTTTTTGGAGTATAAAAATTATTTGATGGTGATGTCATATGTCTGATGCCTTAGTTTCATTGGTTCTTATTTGACTCTTGTATATAATTTTTTTTTTTTAACCTACATTAGGGTAACTTTAGGCAGTGTAGTTCAGGTTGACTCTGTACATGTAGTATTTGCTTTAAGCTTTATGAAAATATTACCATAGTTACCTGAATACACCATGAATAACCACATGGTAGTACTTGTGATTAGAGCATGTGAGACAATGTAATTTAAAATCTTGCATATTTTGAAGGGGGAATGGAAAACCCTATTTTCTGTTTGGCATGAAATATTTAATTAAACTTTTATTGGTTTATATTATGAGTATATGTACTGAATTAGTTTTGGCTGTTGTATTTTGTTTTTGACATGTTAGTAAGTTTTTACTTTTATCAACACTTCTTAAAGTAGTTTTGGGGACATTTTTAATTAAATTTTTATATAAGGAATTTTTCATTTAGCATAAGTTGAAAAAGAAAAGTAAGCTTTTTTTGATATAATAATATTGAATATGAGAGATAAGGTCGTTTCTCTTTTAGCAGTAGTGCTAGAAAGCTTTGAGAAGAACTTAATTCATTTCACTTATTTGTTGAGTAACAAGTGATTGGATTCTTCAAGTAATATAACTCGAGTGACTTAAGGTTGTTAATTTGACAATGAAGATCCAGTGTAAAAGGAGCAAAGTTTCTGGGATTGAGTGCAAAGAATTTCTTGAAGAAACACAGAACATACTTTGCCCTTGATATTACATACCCATTGAAATAAGTGCCTTAATGTCTCTATTTCTAAGTTTACTTTTTAAGACTTTTTTAAAAAGTCATGATAGGATGTGTGGTGTGCATATATACATGAGAGAGAGAGAGAGAGAGACAGGTATACCCTCCGCAGAGTTGGCTACCCCCAAATCCCCTTCCTTTAGTCCTCCAGCTCTTAGAATCTTGGGCACTTTGCACACAGGCCTGGTGTGTTTTAGGCTGACTGGGCCAGGGATTCAAACTACTGTCACCATGTGAGATGTAGCTTCTCTTTAAACAGTGCCCTAACACTTGCACCATGGAGACATTTCCTTTAAGTTTACTTCTTTATTTTCAAAAAAAAAGTTACCCATTTTTTCCCATAAAAAATTTTTAGTTTTTTCTTATCAGTGAGCTCAAAACAACAGTTCTCACTAAGCTATTTTCACTATTAACTCTAATTAAGTAATAAAGTTATGAAGAGTAAAGATGAGGTTTCTAGTATCATAAATTAATTGATTCATTGATTTATTTATCCAAATCCTAAACAATCCTGCAAATAAATCATACTTGTCAAAGTATATACTGACTTTTTGCTGTTTATATATTTCCTAACTTTAGCATTGGTTTCCTGGTGCTTTTTGAGTCTGATACAGTTTTCTAACCTAAGGTGCATGCCTCATACTTCAACACAAACTGTTTCCTTCATTACTTTCTGTGTGTAGACAGCTTTTTTTTGTTACAGGACATTCACCTGGATTGCCATTAGCCTCCATGTTGTGGCACTCCTTCATATAGTCCTTATTTGACTCAAGGAAATGACTTTGAGAATGAAGGTCAAAGTGTGTTACAAGTTGGAGCTGAAAAACATGATTTTAAAAGATGGTTGGGCCAGCCTGTGGTGCAGAGGCTAAGTCGGATGGATCCCACTGCGTGGTTTGAATCCTGGACCTGGCAGCTTGAGAAAACACACAGGTGCGTGTGCGTGTGTGCCCCAAATCTCAACAGGATGGAGAGATGGAGGAGAAGGTTGTGATGGACCATCTTCATGGTGTGTGTGGGGGGGTGCTTCACTTGCTCCCTTGCTTTCTCAACTTCTCTTTCCCCCTGTCACCCAGGCGAGCACATGTGCCCTCTAACTACATTTTTTAAAAACATTATTAATTTTTTTTTTTTGGAGAGATTTTCACTGTAGGGCGCGTGCGCTCGCCAGACAGACAGAGAGAGACATAGAGACAGAAAGTGAGAAATCACCCCCCAGGGGGGATGGTCACGCCGCAATCCCTTCTCCTCCATTCTCCTCTCGGGATCTTGGGCACGCACACACACGCGCCCGGCATGAGTTTTTTAAGTCACCGGGTCCGGGACACGAACCGTGGTCGACCACGTGGGAATCCAGCGACATAGCCATTACGCTAACTGCTGGTTCCCAAAACATTATTAATTTTTTGAAGGTCATTGTGAATATCTCATTAAGTCGTTTCATGTTTTTGACCTTTTTTGTTTTCGAACTGTTAAAAATTTTTTTTTGCTTTTTGTGGATGAAAGTAGTGCTTCTCTTTATACAGTTGGTAGTGGTTTTAAAAGTTGTAAGTGGGCTTTTGATAAATTTATTTTAAATGCATGAATAATTAAAAGATATAGGTTATTGGTCTATATATTTAACAGCCTTATGTAAAGTAAATAACTTGCCATTTACATTTCAGTATATTCTTTCATTGGATTCATTCTTAAAATAGTCTCTATTCTTGCTATTTGTTGATAGTTCAGGTCGCAGTGTATGTTAGAATTACAGCTCTAGGACTGATATGCAGTGTATTCATGCTGGGAAGATTCATTTTGGATGCTGTAAAGATGTATAGTGATTACATGTAAAAGAATAAGAAAAATTTTTTAAAAATTACAGCTCTGAAAAGTTGCAAGTGAAATTGTACTGTTTCTTATTGAAACAATATCTAATTATTAAGTTTTTGAATGTGTAGGGGTAACACTTCAAATAAAATTAGATATAAAATTGCAAAAGAATATATATGACTCAATCGTTTTCTTTCCATTAAAGTTCCTAAAATTATTCTTGTTTTCCATAATAAAAAAAAGGACATTTGGAAACAAATGTCTTAAAATTTTTTTTAAACAGTTTTAGCTTTTTTTAAAAAATTATTTTATTTATTCAGTCATTTATTTTAATTTGACCAGAGAGAGACACAGGGAGAGAGAGAGAAGAAAAGTGAGAAAGGAAGCCGCCAGGTCCAGGACTTGAACTGTGGCGGCCATGTGAGAGTGTCCAGTGCCTTAACCACCACACCACCTGCTGGTCCCCCATATGTCCTGAATTTTGCATTAAGGTATCTTTGAATAATTTCTGCTTATAAGTCTCTTAGAATGTGCAACATTTTAATCTGTAATACATAATTCTGTGTAGTTCTAGAAGCAAGTGTCAGAAAGTGAGATATCACACACACCCCACTTGCCCCCAGGGGGAATGGCCACTTCCTTTCCCTCCATTTTCCTTTTGGGATTTTGGGTATACCTACACACACACCCGTTGTGAATTTCAAACCCCGAATCAGGACTTGAACGATGGTTAATCATGTGGCAGTTCAACATCTTAAACACTATACCACCTGTTGGCCCTACAAATCCTTTAGAGGAATTGGGTTGTAAACTATTGGGTCGTCAGAACGACCCAATAGTTTACTTCAGATTTTGTAATATTCAGTATACTTTGATCAAGAGTGAAATTATTTCATGCTTAATTACACTATTTGTTTTGTTTACATAATAAAACTTTTTTCAGAATATTAAGTGTCTTGGGGCTGGCAGTTGGCGTTGTGGTTAAGGGCACTGGACTCCCACATGGCTGACTGCGGTTGGAGTCCTGGACCTGGCGACCTGCTTTCTCGCTTTCTCTCTCTCTGTCCCTCTCTGGTCAAATCAAGTCAATAAAGTTAAATAAAGTAATTCTTTAAAAAATATTAAGTGTCTTTATTCATACTTGAATTTTTTTTTACAACTTTATTGAAATATAATTAATTTTATTTATCTATTTATTTAATTTAAAATTTATTTGACCAGAGAGGGACAGAGGTGATCAGAATGCTGCTGTAGAAACTGCGCAGAAAGCCATGGGAGGCTAGCCTAGTCAGGGGCTTCAGAGAAGTCCCCGAAAGTGTCTGAGAATATACAAAGGAGAGGCCTCGGAGCAGAATGAGGGAGGTGTAGCCAGGTGGTGAGACCTTGAGGACGAGAACCTTACCCTAACTGAGGGTTGGGTCCTCTACTTCACAGCAGACCAGAGCTGGATACCTAGCAGTTGTTGAATTGGGCTGAGGCTCATCTATGAAAGAGGATCTGTCTTAAGCCATCGTAGAATCAGGTTCTGATAAAAATCATTCTCATTTGAGGGAGTGCTGAGGTAATAATTCAAAGAGCTATTATCCCAGCTGACTGCCCTCAGAGCTGGGGAGGGAATAGGTTTGTGAAAGAAAAGCATCTGGTTTGTTACTGGTAACTCATTAACAGCTTACTGGGGTGGTGGGGGAGAGTGTGTCTCTACTTAATTACGGACTGTATTCGACATTGAAAGCAACTCACTTTATAGTATTTGTATAAAACCGATCTCTCAGCATCTGGATTACCAGTGACCTGCCAGGTTTGTTCCTGTTTCGATTTCCTGTTTGTCTACCTTTCCCCTCACCCCCAGCTTCCTGGGAAAAAGGGCTAAGCTTTGGGTTGTTTGATAGTTTCTCTTATGGTTCACCTTAAATTGTAAATAGTTCAGGCTTTGTAGGCCACACACAGTTGTTGAATTTTTCCCCTTTTCGTTTTTACAACCTTTCAGAAATACACATTTCCCCACAGCTTTGTGACCCAGAGCACCCACCAGAGTCCATGCGCAGGGTCCCTGATTGTGGGATTGAGGACCTATGCATAGACCTCAAGGCACCTGCATCAGAGAGTGGAGGCTCTGTGCTGCCAGTGTCACCTGGCTTACACAGGACCCAGGTGTGACAAAGGTTATGTACAGTCTAGGGCAATTTTGCTGCCAGGGGTCAGCAGGTGGTGTGGTGAAGGCACTGGATTCCCCACGTGGTCAACCACGGTTTGAATCACAGACCTGGAGATTTTTCACTTACTCTCTGCCTTTAGTGAGTTCACATGCTCCATAGCAAAAATTAAAAATAAAATAATTTTATTAAAAATAAAATAATTCTAAAACAAATTCTGCTGCTACCTATAAGCTCATAGACTATGGTTTTAGCAGGGAGGGTCAGGTAGGCAGATGATAAGAAGGGAGTGTTGACTGGACCTTCTGGTGACCAGAGTAGGTGAAATTGGAGCAGCTCACAACCAACACCCAGCTACAGCCATAGTGTCTAGGTAGCTCCTGCCTGCCAAGATCTGTCACAGAAATGGGGGAAATTGGGACCAGCAGTTAGCGTAATGGCTATGTCGCTGAACTCCCATGTAGTTGACCGCGGTTTGAGTCCTGGACCCAGTGGCTTAAACTCACGCTGGGCACATGTGAGTGCATGCCCAAGATCCTGAGAGGAGAATGGAGGAGAAGGGATTGCAGCGTGTATATGATCTATTAGTTTAGGAGCACATATTAATATTTAACTTATATATGAATAAATAGTATATATTGGAAATTGTGCTTTGAAAGATTTTACTGCCTACTTGTATGATAAAACTTTTGGATAATGGGCCAGCTGGTGGTGTGGTGATGAAGGTCGCTGGACCCCACATGACCAACTGTGTAGTTCAAGTCCTGGACCCAGCGGCCTTAGAAACACATCTGGTGTGTGCGTGCATGCCCAAAATCCTGAGAAGAGAATAGAGAAAAAGCGATTGCAGCATGGCCATCACCCCAAGGGGTGATTTCTCACTTTCCCTCTCTCTGCCTCTCTCTCTAGTGAGCACATGTGCCCTATGGCAAAAACCTAAAAAACAACAACAAAATGTCAGAAAAGTTTAAACGCCTTCCCTAAAAATGCAAGCACACAGACCACTTCTATTATTAGAATATCTCAGATTTAACTACCACATTCATGTCCCAGAATCAAAGAGAGCTAACTACGTCCATGCATTTAAGAGCCTGAATGGGAAAGCCTTGCGGATACGCACATTAGCAAAAAAATGGTTACCCCAGGACCAACAGGTTGCATGGTGGTTAGGGTGCTGGACTCCCACATGGCCTACTGCAGTTAGAGCCCCAGGCCTGGTGACTTGCTTTCTCACTTTCCCTTCTCTGTCTGATCAAATTAAAATAATAATAAAATAATTATTTAAAAACGTATCTTATCGTAATGATGTACAGTGAATGAGTGTAAATAAATAAACTTAAAATAGACAAACTTGGAACCCCCGGTGGTGTGGTGGTTAAAGGTGCTGGACTCCCACATGGCCTACTGCAGTTAGAGCCCCAGACCTGGTGACTTGCTTTCTCACTTTCCCTTTCTCTCTCTTTCTCTGGTCTAATTTGGGGAGGAGGGGAAAGGAATAACAAATGGAATTAAGTAAATAATTCTTAAAAAAACTTGTCTTTATCTCATTTGCCTGTATTATCCTTAATCTCTGCCTCCTTTTATTTATTTTTTTGAAGAGGTTTTTGCTATAGAGCGCGTGCGATCGCCAGACAGACAGAGAGAGACAGAAAGCGAGAAATCACCCCCCAGGGGGGATGGCCGCAATCCCTTCTCCTCCATTCTCCTCTGAGGATCTTGGGCACGCACACACGCGCCCGGCGTGAGTTTAAGGGAAGGGACCAGTCCCCGACTTCGACCGCGGTCGACTACGTGGGAGTCCAGCGACATAGCCATTACGCTAACTGCTGGTCCCAATCTCTGCCTCCTTTTATTCTTTTATTCTTTGATTAAACTGAAGTTTAGGCACTATTACTAACGCTGCTTTACCAGCGTGGAAACTAAGGTTCAGAGAGGTTAAATATCCTAGCCAAAGCGTTAGAAGGGTGGACGTTAGAGCTTGCATCCTCAATCAGTTCACGATCTAAGAATACACTCTTGATTTTTTGTTTTGATAGTTAATAAAAAGTACAAGAACATTACAGAGCGGAGTCAAATGTCGAATGGGGCACAGTATTTCTAGCGGGTACATCAGAGAGTTAATCAGACGCTAAACGTTGAGCGCTGGTCCCGAGAAGCCGCAGTAAGACTGGCTCTCACAGCAGGCTGTCTGTTATTCCCGGTCCGGGAAGCGAGCTAGGACCCTGCTGCCCACGACAGCATTTGCGGAGAGGACCTAGGTGGCAGGAAATCTCAGAAATGGATATGGGAATTGGCAGCACCGAAAGCAAACTTTGCCTAGGTCACAGCTAGAATCTGTTGTGTTCACTTTTACTAAAACATTGAGCCCCACTGAGTTGGTTTCATTTTCTCCCAGGGGAAGGTGGGAGCCACCAGCGACCCAACCTCGCGCCGAGGCGTCTCCCAGGGCAACCTGGGGGAGGCGTGGCCTTAGCATTGGTCCCGCCCCCTTCTCTCCAGCTCGAGCAACGATTGGCCCAGAGGCACGTCAAAGGCGCAGCGGGCAGATTTCGGTCCCAGCTCTGGCAGGCCCGCGCCGCCATTTTGGCTAGTGTGAGTTTCCTAACGCTTAGTGAGGTCTCTCTCCTGACGTTTCCGCAGACCACAGGCCCGAGGCGGGCGGC